AGGTGAACACTTGCCCTGCAAGGCTCCTCCACTACCTTGCCTTGTCCTGTGGTTGATATGAAGTGATACAATTCTTTACTTGCTTGGACATGTATTAAAGAGCAACAGGGCTGGGATCTTGTAGGTAACATTCACAGGAGTTATTCCCAATTATGCTGGCATGTGTGCTTTTAGGATCATTGCAGAAGGAAGTATCCTGAACCTCCTTTTGCAACATTCCCTTGCCTCAGCTGTACGACAGCAGCTGGGAGTTTCAAATCAGCCCTACCTTGGAAACTACTTGGCTACAGGATGTGGCCTGGGTGTATTCTGGTTGCCTAGTGAATCTTGGGGAAAATAAAGTCCAAAACACACTGCAGGAATAATCCAGTTTGAGACCACTTTAACTGCCTTGGCTCAATGCTAGGGAATCCTGGGAACTATAGTTTTGTGAGACATTTTTACCCTCCTCTGTCAAGAGAGCTCTGGTGCCACAACAAATTACAATTCCCAGGATTCCCTAGCACTGAGCCAGCAGTGTTAAAGCAGTCTCCAACTGGATTATTTCTGCAGTGTGTTTTAGACTGAAGTAGCCCTTCTCTGCAATCAGAGAACTCAAGCAGAGGAACTTGTAAGAGAGTCCTTGTGGGACCAAAGGACACTGCACCCAAGTAGTGTCTGAGGAACAGAGTTGTGATTAGGAACCCACCCAGCTGACATCATACACCTAGAGTGGAAATGGAGACAAAGGAGCAGCCCTCCCAACAAAAACAGTGCAAGTGCACTGGTAGAGACTTGTACTCCACCAACATGCTTATTTGATCTTGGTCAAGACAAACTCTCCCGAATGAGATCACAAAATGTTCTAGGCTTGCATCCTGTTCTAAACAGTAATCAGCCAGACATTTCAAAAATATTCTCAGATATTTCTTTTCTTCCAAAGTATACAAAAAATACTAGAACTCCTTAAATCCCTCACCAACACTGTCAATGGTCATGGTAACTGAGAGCATCCAAGCTCTGAATGTATGTACATCAATAGAATGCCACATGTTCTCAAGAATATCTCAGAGTTCTGTTGGAATCGCCTAGACTTTTAGTCTTGGGCAAATTCAACATTCCACTTGAGACTAGTTTCTTAAATTTAACAGGTGTGGCTCGGGAGTTCATAGAGACCATGACAAACATGAGCCTATCCCAATTGGTCGCTGGGCCCACGCAATCTGCAGGTCATACCCTTGATGTGATCTTCAGTATGGAACAGGAATATCCATGGGCAGAGATAAAAAAAAAACTTCTATTGGAACCAATTGGATTCTAGAAAGCCTTAGAGGGTTTAATGGTTGGTAACGCTGGCGATACTGTCGAAGCTTTGGTTAATACGTGGAACACCAATCTTACCAAGGCTATTGACATGATTGCTCCCAAGTGTTCTTTCCAAACCGCTTCTAATCATCGGTCATGGTATACTGAAGAACTCAGGAAGATGAAGCGGGTTGGACAATGACTAGAGTGCGTTTGGCGGAAAACCCGACTCTTATCTGACAGATGGAGGTACTGAATCTTCTTGTACAATGTCGGAGAAAAGACCTAAACTTGTGCAACTCTTGGTTATGCCAGTACAAATCATTCTGGCCAAAATCTGACAGACAGCAGCTTATTTCTCCAATGCTTTCTTTCTTTCGTAGCTGCTATACCTGGAAGCAGTTTACTCTTGCTGCCTCTACCTATGCTAGCATAGTCACACCAGCATAGTGAGCCAACAGGATTCTAGGCATTGAGTCTCAAAGATCCTATAATAGTTATAATGGACTCACTCACTGGGATGAGGGATTTCTTTTGCATTCAGATATTTTGAAGTTCAAGATCAAGTTCTCTTCATTCTAAGTATGAAGAAATTTGCAAATTCTTCCTCAAAAAGGAACTGCACTAACATTTCCCCCATGTGCAACAACCAAATTCAATAGGTACATACTTGGTGAGGATCACGTTGCACCTGTCTGCCATATAAATGATAAAGATGAGATGTTTCTCTGAAAAAAAAAAACGACAAGTTTCAGAAACAACCTGAAGGCACACAACAACAATATCAATTTCTGCAAGCTGGCTGGGAAGGTCAGTGTCCTCAGAGAAGCCTTTTTCCTTTACTGTGGATTTACTGCACCCAACTACAACACATCCAAGGTTGGAGACCTGGAATTCTCAGTCACTGAACAGATCTGAATGTTCCCATTTCCATATAAATATCATCACAAATCAAAATAAAAAAAAATGAAGGTTGTTGTCATCCAGCCTAATGTACTGTAGCAGCAATATTCTGAAATGGTTTCCTCATGCAAATTTCCCACCTTACACGCTAATGCAATTGCAAATACCACATATTATTTATTTATTGCATGCAGCCTATTATTATATTTCTTACATACAATCTATTCTCCAAAGAGCTCAAGGAGCATACATAGTTCTACCACCCCACATTTTACTTTCACAACAACCTTATGAGGCAGGTTGGGCTACCCAAGACAGCTCATAGTTACCCAGGGACTTTCACTGGAGTCTAGCTTACCCCATTCCTACTCCAAAAGACTGTCTGCTACACTACACTGGTTTTCATATATAACTAGCATTAGAAGACACAGTTACTTTGTCAAAACCTCCCTGCATGCATAAAATTAGAATTACAGTATGGAGTATGTGCTGAAGTGTCCTTTTTAATGAGGAATCTATTATAAGTACACCCACTCTGGTACTTTGCCTATTAATCAGCAATTAATTGCTAGCAGACAGTTCATAGCATATTCAATTAAAGCATGTACTCAGTATCATAACCACCATCAAACACCTCACAGCACAAATGTTTTTAGAAGCACGGGGCAGCTTATTCAGGGTCCAAACAATGTGCAAAAAAAGACTTCAATTTCACAAAATGGGCCAGCTAGTGAGAACAGCTATAGTAAGCAAACGTGCAACTCAGCTGATCTGGCTTTCAAAGCGGAAAACCCTATATATCATAGAAAATGCTGCATTGGCAAGGGGTTGGTTATAAGGCTAAATTTAATGTCAAGAATTTGCTACCATAATACACAGTTTACTGTGTTACCACAAACCACGATGAAATTACAGACCAGCAATAAAAGAATTTGCCCTCATCTCTCAGAAGAAATGGCATATGACAAGGTCTGCAGTTAAACTAGGGGGAAGGATAAATCAATAAGGAATGTATATGTAATTTGATGGACAGCATACTTAAATCCTACAATTCAGCCACAGCAGGAGCATTCACAGTTGCCTCCATACAGTGTTTGTACCTGAACTAATCCCCAGATAAATAAAATAGTTTTCTGTAAATAAAAATTGGAACTGTAATGCTCCAATTTAGAAAAATATATCATAGTTTTTTTTAAATAAAGATTTTAACATCTAAATGTGGAGGGGGGGGAAAGAAACTGAAGGCATATTTATTTCTAAGTACTTCCAACTATACAATAGCAGAAATGGATTTTGAACCACTGTAATCAATATTTGCCATTTTTGTCTCCCTTGTTACTCATATGCGGGGAAAGAAAAGTTATTTTCTGTACTAGCCTGCATCATTCCCCAGTCAACATGACTGCGGGCTGTGTTGGCTGATTTGAACCCTCAGGGAGCCCATCCAAAGTAACATTTCTAAACTCTGATTCTAAGGAATGCATTTCTGCATTTAAGAGGGGCATAAACATGCTTGCAGTGAGACTGAAACTAGAAGCTGTAATAAACATCCCATTTGTTCTTCTGTTCTCTCACCAGCATTTAGGTGTACCCAAATAATCCTTCTCTTTGCTTTAGCATCTTGATCCAGCCCTCTGTGTACATGAATCAGTATTAAAAAATGACATGGATGCATCTGACAGGAACAGAGATGACAGCCTGCATGCTTTTTGTAACATTTAGGACCAGCTTGATGTTTTATGGGATAAATTTTAAAATTTTACTGGATCTTAGAGTGTCTAGAAAATATTATGTTCAGCATGCTGGCCTGGAAATTTTTACTTAATATTTATCACCCAAAAATACTGCTTCCCTGCATTCCCAGAACTTTAACTACTAGTATGTTTTATACTGTGAGAATTTTTAGAAAAAATCATAACAGAGAATGCAAGACATACATATTCCAGACACTGGAAATACTAGATAATTGAAACATGTGCTACACCCTTAGTCCTACAGAATGGATAGGCTAATGATTAACCCAGCCTAGTATAATTATGAAACAAAAAATATTAAGTGTTAATTACAAGGTATTCTGACAGTTCAGAATACTACAGCAATGATTTCATGCTTCCCCCCCCAACTCCTTGTCCTGCTGCTTTCATATTTCATACACTGGCTATGTAAACAAAGGCATTTGCTTTATGTCTGGCTACATCCTAGAGCAGCAAATTATTAAAAAATTAAATTGAGGATGCTGAAAAGAGAGCAAGAAACATGCACCTAGAGACCATTGGGAGCTGCTTCTGCTACACACTGATTTTTTTTCTCTTCCCAGTAGCAATGAAGGGCATTCTCAAGACAAAAGGTATTTCCCCTTCAGTATGGCAGAAAACCAATCTCTTATTCTGTCTGCGTGCAGAGTCGGGGAAATCCTTCATGAAGGAAAATTCACTTGCAAGAGATTCCTACAAACATTCCCCAGATAGTGCTGCCCACGCAGAGGAACTCCCTATCATGCATTTTCAATTTTTCCCTTTTTCTTTTTGTACTCTTCCTGCAGCACAGCTTGGTAGAGCACAGAGACAGTGATTAAAATCCAGCAGCAGGCTGTCTTTGAAACTGTCAAGATTATTTCTGCTCCATTTTTTAAAAAAGAACAAAAGCCGATAACAGCATTGACTGCAGCAGTCTGAGTTCATGATGCATAATTGCAATTATTATTTTAAAATAGAGAGTAAGCACTCTCTATTAAACAGCAGAGGCTTTTCTTGGGTTCCACCAAAGGCAAGGGAGAGGATTTTTAAAAGATTAAACTATAGTGCAAACCTAGAGGCAGTATGGTGTAGTGGTTTGAGCGCTAACTCTGTCATACTCTGGAGATCAGGGTTCAAATCCCTGCTCAGTCACGGAAAGCTACTGGTGACCTTAAGTTACATCCTCTCAGTCTCAGAGGAAGACAAAGGCTTCTTTAACAAATCACTGTACATTGGAAACATTTTGAAAGCACACAATAACAATACTGCAAACCTACCAGTCTATCTCATGTTTCTTAGTAAAACATGATTGTTCTCTTGTGTCAGTTGCCCTGTAGCTAGCATAGAGTCCGAGTAACAGGAGGGGATAGACTGGGGCCTCAGCTGAAAAGAAATGTCAGTTCACTGGAAATAAAAGTGAAAGACCAATTGATTTACAAAGAATATTTAGCACCTTGAGTTAACTGAGTTCTGGGGTTACCTAGAAGCCTTCTCTCTAGAGTAGAAGCCCTAGCCCTGCAGATCAGATGTTTAGGAGCAGCTGGTGCTCAATTTGTGAAAAGGAAAAGCAGAGACTAGAAGACGGGATGCAGACGGGTGGTCATGGGCCACCCTGGAAAGAGGAGGATTGGGGCCGAGGCTGCCCCACATCTTGGCCCCAATCCTCCTTTTTGGTGCCTGAGAAAGGAGTGCCAAAATAGTGCTCCTTTCCCAGGCGGCAAAAAGGGCACCTGAGGAGCCACCATGCAGCTCTTTTGCACCTCTTCCGGCACAGCGTGTCCAGACGCTGCGCCAGGAGGACATCATCAGAGACTCACCGTGTGCAACAGTATGCGCTCTGATGACATCTTCGGGAAGGGATTGGGGTGTCCGGTATCCAGCTGCTCCTCCCTTTCCTTGGCTCCAAGACAGCACGTTGCGCCGTCTGCAGAACCCCTTACTTGCTTAGACCACAAAAGGACTGGGCAACTTCAAGAGATGTGGGAGCTGAATTCCCATATACACCATGACCTTTGAAGGCAACAACCACCCCTTCTGGAAAATCCTAGTCAGGGGGACTAATTCTCATTAGTATCCACTAGCGGCAGTAATGTAGATTCAAGTCATTTGACTTGGACTTGGAGTCAGACACCATTTTAAAGCCCCAGGCTTGCTGTGCACAGAAGCTTAAGTCTGCATATGGCAAACCCATGTAAGAAGCAGATGTGCTGTATAGGGTTTTCTTAACAAGTTTCTTCAGAGGGAGAGTTCCATTGCTATCCTCTGCAGCCAGTCCTAGTAAACCCAATACATTTAGGATTTAGGATTGTGGTGTATTTATTCATTTTTTATTCTGGAGGGAGGTAGTGCGAAAAAAACAGGTGACAGACCAGACCCTGAAGTATCCCCCCCATTCTTGTCTCTACCCCTATTTCAGGATCCCACACACATCATCCCTGGCTACTATATCTCATTCAAAAATCCAAACCACCATCCCATAGGTTAAGCCATCCAAACTGGAGATAACACTAGGGTCCAAAACACACTGCAGAAATAATCCAGTTTGAGACTGCATTAACTTCCCTGGCTCAGTGCTAGGGAATCCTGGGAATTGTAGTATATTGTGGCACCAGTGGTATCTCTAACAGAGAAGGCTAAATGTCTCTCAAAACTACAGTTCCCAGAATTCCTTAGCATTGAGCCAGGGCAGTTA